GAAAAGAACATGGAAACTGCAGGGATAATGGAAAAGAAAATGGAAACTACCGTAGTATATTGGGGTTATATAGGCGTTATATAATGGGGATAATGGAAAATAAAATGGAAACTACTACATCATAATAGGGTTATATAGGGATCATATAGGGAGTATATTGGGGTTATATAGGGGTTATATGGGGATAATGGAAAATAAAATGGAAACTACTATATCATAATAGGGTATATATTGGGGCTGTATGGGGATAATGGAAAAATGCAAGCTAAGGGAGCTTTAGTCTAAGCTCCTAGTCTCCCCCTTAATAAGCCCCCAAGAATAGGACTCCTATATAGTGCCCTATATAACCCCCTTTAAAGCGTTTAGACTACAGCTCATCTGGGTCATCCTTAGGGTGTAAGGGTTTAGGGTTTATAGGAATTACAGGGGTGATAGGGTTTAGGGATTTAAGTAGCCGCTAGGTGGGTATACAGGGTTTCGGGTATTGATGCTGGTTTCGGAGCTTCATAAGGCTTGGGGTTTAGGGACGCAGGATGCGAATTATGACATTTGGTCTCTACGAACCAACATAGCATGCCTCAAGGCCAATGTGCATCTTCAACAATGGTCAAGAGAAACGATGCTGGACACGCGCAATCTCCCTCAGACTCCCTAGGCATCCTAGCTGTCAATGAAACTCGCCGAACCAGCAAACAAACAATACTTGATAATTTTCATAATCTAAGGAGACCCAAATATAGACTCCCAAATAGGAAAACCTATGATAACCCTTAGTGTAAGGACCCCACCAAACAAGGTACCCCTGTTTTTGGGAAACCCCCCACTTTCAGAAGCATCTAAGCGAGTCTGAGTTTGGGGCAGACCTGTTGGTGGAGCCATTGGCATGTGCATCTCGGTGTTGAGAACCAGCGCGGTCCTTACTGGGTGGCTGTTGAGACACTTAAATTTGAGTACTATAATAGCGAAACCCTATTATTTACCATATACCCGTACTATGGTAAATTAGTTTACCTTCCTTGACAGCATCCCTGCTCAGCAGCATGGAGTTGCAGTTGCTAGACCACAGCTTAGACATCGTAACCCTCACAATACCCACATCTACATGAAGCGCTCTCCAACCGCAAGCGTTGAGCTTAGTTTGTGTTGGCATCTTGCTTGAGTGGCTTTACTGAAAAAGCTGGTATGACAAAACTCTATCACGCAGTTTGAGGTTTGGGGTTTGGGGCCTGGGGTCTATGTTAGAAGCTTTCAGGTGCATAGCTCCACCCATGCCAAGCAAGGCGATGCTTTGTAGCCAAGGCCAAAGCTCCAGCATTTCCTCCTGCAACACCTAGGCAAGCACCATCATCATCATGATCACATATCTGAGCAGACTTGCCAATTACAAAAGTTTGTAGCAGCACTGTGAGAGTTTCAGTGTGTAACCATCTGAACATGATCTGTGCATGTGCCAACATATCATGAACACTTGCACGCTTTGCGCAGTTTCTGTAAGAACTACAAGTTGCCACGGCACCACATTTCTGGGGATAGCTACTGCTTGCTCCCGTGAGGCCAGCACCCCTGCCACGATGGAGATGGCGGTGCCAACCATCAATCGAATCCTTGCTCGTTGTCCAGCGATTCGGCGTGCTCTTACAAGTCCCAGTAACTAGAAAAACCTATGCCCCACCCAAGGGGCAAGGGCAAGAATGCTGAATAGCATTCACAAATTAGCTCAGGCTTCTACATTTTGCCGTGGTGCAGGTCAGCTCACACTCTTCGCTATATCCTGCATGGTTACCGTGATGACATAGCGGTCATTCAAAAGGACCGGAAACTGTGTGGCATGCCCTTCCCAACTCGGGCGTCGGCTGGTTGTACAGGAAGAATTGGCCCCGGAGCACGATGCGAAGCAGCTTGCCTACTTTGACTTGGTTGCAATGAAGGAGCTTGGGCTGAGGTAGCGCAATGTGAGTGCGGAGTAAATAGCATGGTTTCCTTCTGATGGTAACGTAGCTCAGCTGATGTGGCAATCAGCAACTGCCTGCTCAGGCACTGTAGCAAACATAGTGAGTTGTTGTAAGAATTTTCAATATCTCTCCGGCGTACCACATGTCTTATATTATTCACAGCAGGACATGTTGCCAAACGCGGAGGGCATACTTTTGGCATTGCTGAGGCTTCGCTCAACATCATGTACTCATGCAAGCAGCGTCAAGCTCCACTGTGCCAGGCAGCTATGACTAGGGCATCTCTGCCACACTCATGTCTCGAAAACGTGATGTCTCCCTTGGCTTCCAAGACGTTGGGGTCCCTTATGCTCTTCCACGAAGCTGTGGCCACATTTCTGAAACATCTCCGGCTACAGGATATAAGTCAACAATAAGGTGCCCCAAGCCCCAAACCAGCAATTGTCCGTGTAATCGTGGTACGGGAACCACTTACCAAGGAGACGCCACAGTTTGGGAAACGCGCGTATGCCTTCCATGGTCGGCTCCACAGACATCATGTGCATGGTGCTCTGCCTCAGCATACACCATACGTTAAACTCCGATGCTGCTGCATGCCACTGAAACTAAAACCCTAAACCCTAAACCCTAAACCCAACACAAAGCCACGCAAAGGTCGAGAAGCTAGGATGGACTCCTTCTTGGACATTCATTGAAACGTCGAGACCCTACTTGCGCAGCCCCTGTGAGCTTCCGATTGAGGCTCTGGCATTTGGAGATTGAGAGATTTGGGATTTTGGGCTTGTGGGATTGGTATCCAAGGTTGCCGGTCTGGGGTCAGGATGCTGACTGAGTGTCGGTGGCCTTTCATAGCGCAGTTTGGGATGGTTTGTTGGATCGCCTGCGGTTGGGGCATTTTAGCAGTGGAGGGCGCCGGGTCTGTGGGTGCATTGCACGAGAATGTAGGGTGTGCAGCCGCGTTTGGCAGTTCCCATAAAAATGGGGCCTCAATATGAAACTGCGAAACACTAAGGACCCCGAAGGGGATCCTTAACTTTGGAAAGCCTGCGTCCGACGAACCTCTTTCTAATCCCAGTTTCCACTTCGTGCTCCATTTTCTTGAACAGCTGCTTCTCCGTTATTGGGGTGAAACTCCTAAACCCTACAAGCCCAAAATTGTTGGAAGCCGGTTTACCGTTGGGTTGCTTGCAGGACCGTGGCAAGATTGATCGGCGCCGAAAGACCACATAAGCATACAATCCACCCCAAGAACCCAATAGTAGCCATAGCATCCTCATGCCTCGGTAGTTCTTACCAGACCCAATCAGGCTTTTTTGACCAAGGGCGCGCAGGTCGGCTGCGTATCCTATACTGCGCTTGAAGCCAGCTACAGCCTGGACATACTCGTTCCCGTGAACTCCGTCGGCTGATGGCGGAAGTGAGGGGACAAGCATTTGCGGGAGATGAGGCCACGCTTTACTGGCACATCCAGGTAGAAGTCGGAGTTGTACATGAACCTTGGTTTCATCTGGGGGCGTATGAGGTATTCTCGTACCTTTTTCTAGACCCCGAACTCTCATTCCTGAACCCTACAACCTGAAAACCTTTAATCCTCAACCTCAAACCCAGGCCCCAAACCCACCACCCAAGGAACGGCGTGTTAACGAGTGCTCGGGCCGCCTTGGCTGTGATGGCGTAGGCGGTGGAGCCCGTGTCGTTCATGCCAGTCCCGCAGTGGCGATCCTCGAGGAAGACCAGATCCACATCTGGAGGAATCCTGAAGGCTCCCTAAAAGTTTAGGGTTTGGGGTTTAGGGTTGAGGGTTTAGGACGCCTCCTGGAATTATTGAACATAACATGGATGCCCAGTAGAATATTGGCAAAAAGTGGACACCCCCTGGAATCATCGAAAAGAAGATGGACACCACGAGAATAATGGAAACGTTAAACTGGAAAAGAAAATGGGAATCAGCGGGAGCTCGGGCTGTAAAGGGGGTATAAACTGAAGAGAGAAAAAGGAGGACGCTGTTTGAACACTCTGCTTCGAGAAGCCCAGGCCCAAAAAAGGACAAAGTAGCCACTTGAGAGTTTCCCGGGATCTAGCATTTAACTGACTAAAAACAAACAAGCCATATTTCCCCCAATATGTTGGAGTCCTACCTCTTAAGCCCTTGAACAGACACAAATAACCCTGAATCCTAAGCCCGAAAACCTAAACTCGAAACCCTAAAACCCCATAAGCTCCTCTGTATCTACCGGAACCCTCCCCCAAACTGGGTTGCTGTTAAGGAACTTAAATTAAGTTACTATATTGGGGAAACCCTATTATTTACTATATATACCTATTATGGTAACCCTAAACCCTAAACCCATTATGGTAACTTAATTTAAGTTCCTTAACAGCAACCCACAGCAAACCAACAGCCAGGAAGCTCCGAGAGGTGCTGCAGCAGCTCCTCAGAGCTCGTTTCCGGACGGGCATCATCCTCCAAAGAAAGGATTCCTAAGCCCTACCTGGACTCAAAGGTGACCCCTAACGATAGCTAGGGTTTAGGGTTTAGGGTTTGGGGTTTAGGGCTTGGGCTTTAGGTTTTAGGGTTTAGGCAAAATTATAGCCCAGCACCCCTAACAATAGCCCGAAAGGCTATCATTCTATTTGGTGCAGGTAAGCCCAAGCCTCTCAGCTCCAAACGCTAAAACCTAGAACCATGCCAGGTGAATCTTCTGGATTCTGATTCTATCTGTCCTGCTTTCAGGTTTAAAGTTTACAGGGTTTCAGGGTTTAGGGTTTAGGGTTGTGAACAGTCATTCCTAGACCCTCCTCCTACCCTCTATTAGGGCCTAAGCAGCCATTATTAGGGACCATATATCCCCAATTAAGGGTACAAGGAGGGTCCTGGTTTATAGGTTCTCAAGCTTCCGGCATGCTGGTGCCCTTCCCACCCACACTGCCTAATATCGGGATAATGGAGAAGAAAATGGAAACTACAGGGGTTATAGGGATATATTATAGAGGTAATATGGGGGTTTAATAGGGAATTATGGGGTATATTTAGGGGTTATATAAGTCCTCGAGGATGATCATCCACTCACGCCCACTCAAGGAAGCTACCGCTGTTTGCCATGCCTTGTAGTGCCCCAGGGCACATGCCAGAGTGCCTAAAGGCCTGCCATCGATACGGTTTTGGTGCCTGGAAGGATTGCTGCGCCACTGCGCCTTCATCTGCTCTGACATGGGAACCAGCTCCTCCCTGTTCATCATGTCCTCCTCGCTTGCGAAGTCTGTAGCCGTCACCCCGACCATCCAAGTCACGCGGATACCAGGAAAGACTTGCTCGTACTTGTAGGCTCGCGTGCGTTCGGCATAAGTCAACACCATGATCTGATCGATTCTGGCGACGGGCGCGGTGCCAGTGTGGGAGAACGTTTGGACCAGCGTGGGTGAGTTGTAGGCAGGAATGGCGACTCCCTGCCTGCGAAGGACGGCCTGCGCCTGCTGGAAGTCTTGCTCGCTGGTGCCGACCAGCCCCCAAGAGGGGTTGTGCACTTCCATGAAAAGCTTGTCAACAAGATGTGCCTGTGGAGAATTAGCAAGGCAAGGGATGATATCAAACTCAGCTCCCTCGATGTCCATCTTAACAATCACGAGATCCTTGGCGCGGTGCGCGGGAGCGGTGCGGCCGTTCGGCTTCAGGGTTTAGCGTTGCTCTATAAGGCTCAAAAAAGCCCAAAAAGCCTTTTGTAGTATGGTCTTTGGGCCCAAAAGCCTTTATCATGACTCTTTAAAGCCTTAGAGTTAGGGTTCGACACAGTAATAGCTACGTGCAGACAAGCTGGCCTTAGCTGTTGTCTGCTCATGGAGGATCTGGAGCAGGTTTCTGAGCGGTGGTTTGAACAGATTTGTTGATTTGAGTGCTTCGTTCATTCCTCCTTCAGAACCTCTAATCCAAACTAAACTACTCTTTCTAAAACCTGCTTCCCAACTCCATACTGTGTCAACAGCACTGCAACCCCCCTCGCAAAACCAACGCAACCCACTTAAGTAAGGGTTCCAAGGTTGAGGGGCCTTTTTTTGGCATCGTTTAGCCAGGGAGCTTGACGTGCGCTAAGCACCACTCCCAGGTCCCTAAGCCCTGAAGGCTAAGCTTTATAGCCCCCTTAAGCATATGGATCTTATTACAACATACCCAAAGCCGTATGTTATCTACTTAATGGGGACTATAACCTCAAAAGCCTACAAGCCTGAAGCCCAGAACCTCTAAACCTTCAACTGGACTCAAATCTCCCCCAACCCGCTTTTTTTTTGCCACTGGGAGTGCCTGGTGGGCACCGTGACCTTCACTTTACCGCTCTTCACGACGTCCTGATGCGAAGGGGAAAGGCTGGATCCCCAGTAGTTGTGCTCGGTGTTCACATTGTCCAGGTAGAAACCTTAGGTATGTCAGGTATCATTAATGACGCACCGGCTTAACTGGGGCTACCCGCAATTGCGTCAAGTTTTTGGGAAATTATTAAGGACAGGGAATTGTTTGGGGTACCCGCTGTAATGTCAAGGTTTGGGGGCCAGAAAAGCAATTTCAGAAGTTTGAGGAGCTCACATGCAAGCTCAAACTCAATTGAAAGTTTTAATGCAAGCTGCTCATTCTTTGCTCTGAATACTACTACTAATAATAACAATGTATTTATTATTAGGATTCAGCTCAGACCCTCAAACCATTTTGATTCTGGACGACCTTAATTGTTTAGGGGGGACCCCCGTACTTTAAAGAGGGCGCAACATTCGTGCTCAGGGGTGGAATAGTTGAGGTATTGGAGGCTTAGGGATTTGAGCTTGGGGTGTTGCAAGGATGTTGGAGACAGCCGCTCATCGAACGACCCCCCCCCCCACCAGGCTACACTCTTGGAATAGCCCCGAGCCGCAGTTAACCGGGTACCCTACATGAGAAACACGCTCACTCCCATGGTAAAATACCAGGAGTTTCAAGCTTACGCACCTTTTTCCTCAAACCCTAGCTTAACCAATTATCTATGCAAATGATCGTGCTTCGAGGATCTCAGTTTTTAGGGCTTCGAAGATTCAGCCACCGGAAGCCTAAACCCTCGACATCCATGACGCCCCAAGCCGTATAAACCCCCAACCCCAAGCCGTGGACCCTAACCATAAACTCTGAACCCCAAACCCAAAGCCAAGTCGCTCGTTTGCGCATCGCACATGTAGGCTGCTGAGGAGGGCATGGCTTTGACCTGGTTATGGTGCTGGGCCTCAACCTGGTGCAATGCTGAGTCGAAACCTGCGTGACACGGGGTCTTGGGTTTTGGGGGTAATGCTTGCTACTACGTATATATTTCTATGTGATATCCTAAAGATGGAGAATGGAAAAGCAAGTAGAAGATGGAATGGAAACTGGGATTATTGACAATAATGATACTATCTTGGTTGGGGATGCATTGAATGCTTAGTAGCCACTCCTGTTTGCTAGGCCGCAAAAAGAAGCCAGGCAGGCAGACCATCGTAAAGAAGGAACAACCAGAAGCTTTTTCTGTAGACCCGACTCTAGTTTATGTGAGAGAAAAGGATGCCATACTGCCATCCAGTCACGGGGATTGGCCTCCACCAACAGAGCCTCCCATTTTCCTCCATTTGGGCAGGAGGCCACAGGAGTGTAGTCGCCCTGCCTCGATATGAGTGAAGATGTTTGATGCCCAGGGAAAAATTTGGTGGTAGGGTGCAACGTGCTAAGGCCCCGCAGCAAAAAGTCCATCTGCAAGCTTCAGACCAGTTGCAAGAAGCGTTCAAAGCTATTTCCATTGGCTGCACCCAGATCGATGAACACGCATCTCGCCTCTCGACCGGACTTCGGCGCCACCCAGGATGCATCGCTGCTGTGGCACTGACATGGTGGTGCTTTCTGGATCTCGTTGGAGAAATCGTGCACCTAAGGCAAAGGCAAGACCAAGGCATGCCCTTCAGAGGCTGAAGGTTCTGCATTTCGTGGAAATTAGGAATCTGATTCCATTCCCCCAAGACCCTAGTGGATTTGTATCAATTCCTGCTCAGGTTACTCTACGTGAAAGGCTCCGCTGAAACCAACCCCAGATACCTTGAGGGCGCGCACGGTCACTTCCTGGCAAAGGGCTGAGAGCAAAACCGCTGCTTTCTTCAAGGCGCCCGGCATCCGGTCCCTTTGCAGCCTATAGGCGCCAACTACATTGATCCCGGGCGGAGCTTGAACCCGAGGGTCAACTCGAAGCAGGCAGCAAGCGAATTAAGAGCCTATCAGGCACGAAGTCCGCAATTGACAGGTTGAAATGTGTTCTGGTATTGTATGCCTGGACTCTGGAAGGTGAGTGTGACCTCCACCCAGGAGCATACCTTCAACCGCTCATCCGAAACCCTGAATCCTCTGGTGGCCTCGACCTTGACAAGCAGCCCCAAACCCTGAAACCATCCTGATCCCGAAGCCTAAATCAATGCAGACCCCTGATTCAGAAATCCCCTTCCTCTTAATTTAATGGCCTGAATATTAGGATCCCTAGTATAACCCCCATTTAGGGGAGGGGATTTCTTAATGAGGGGGGCCTACATTACCCTAAACCTGCAAGCCGGCAAAGCTCTGTGCATCCGGTCTTGCCTGTCCCTCAAGCTCAGGAGGCACCCCAACGGAGCCATCTCTTCGTGATCTTGCCCCGCATCCCTAAACCCTGAGCTGCAAACCCCGGACCTCAACCCCTAAATCTAAAAAAACAAGCAAAAGGAACCCTCGACCTCCATTCACAAACCAATGGGCTAGGATTTTGGGGTTAGGTTCGGATCCGAGCGGAGTTGGAACTTGGATTGGGCGTCCTCGGGTAGGGAACGCGAGTTGAGTTCACAGAAGCCAGATCATGCTTTGAGTGGCCGTGTATTCCCCGAGTGGGGGCGTGCCTTCTATGTCAGACGGCCTCTCTGTAACCATAGGCACGCTGTTATGCGTCATAAACCCACCAAAGCTAAAATGAAAAGGGTCCCATTTTGCCAAGAAAGCATGCAACACATGAATGTTTCTGCAAATTTCACATCCCGTCACGGTACCCTCACATGATACAATCCCTCCTGATATGAACCTCAAAGAGGAAACCCAAAGTTCTCAGAACTCCCAAGCAAATCTAGCGCTAAAGGCTCACGGGTAGCGTACCGGGCATTTGGCTTGCATCAGAGAAAATGGCCTAAACCCCTAAACCCCAACACCCTAAACCCCAAACCCCTGAACCCTACACCCCAAACCCGAAGCCCCTAAGCCCCTAAACCCCACACCCCCAAACCCTAAGCCCCTAAACTAAAAGGACACTTGGAGCCTCTAAGTCCCCGGCGTGTGCTTCAAGATGTGCTCTGGGCGCGTCCGCCAAGAGCCAGTTGCAGGATCCTATGGTACTATTGGGGGTAATATTGGGGTAATGGGAAAGAAAATGGAAACTACTATAACGGGTGTAGGGTGTAGGGTTTATAAGGCTTAGGGGCTATTGGGTTAATATTGGGGTAATGGAGAAGACAATGGAAACTACTATAATGGGTTATATTACCGTATATTGGAACTTCTGGACGATATCAGCTATAGTCTAGACTTCTAGCATGCCCCGTAGTAACCCTCATACTACTCCCCTAAAAAAGCCGTTATAAGCCCCACTCTAATCTTGCTGTATAGGAGTGTGGACTATAGGTCACATGGGGGTGGGGGATTGGGTCCCTGAAATGTCCCTAACGCCCTGCAGCCCTAAACTATACAGATCCAGCTCAACCGGGAAGGGGGTTTAGGGGTTTTGGGTCCAGGGATTGTAAGGTTAATGGTTAGTCAAGGTTCCGGCAAATAAGGATTTGGTCCTACACACTAGACCCCCCTTTCCAAACCCATGGTTGTTGGTGTGCCCCTACCTTCACCGGATCCCAGCCCCTTCATATACACACACATATACATATACATATACATATACATATACATATACATATACATAGATATGCATATATGTTTACATATGCATATACGTATACATATGTATATATGTATATATACATCCATGAATTTTTTTATACACACATAATATACGACCCGCGTCCTTGGTGCAGACCTCCGTCCATGGACCTTGACCTTTGGGCCCTTCTCGGGCGCCGGCGTCTGCCTTCTGCATAAAAAAATCTACATTCAATGTTTCATATCAGGTATCTAGGGTTTAGGGTTTAGAATTTAGGGTTTAGTATTTGAGTCTAGGGGCCAATAATTGATGCATAATTTGATGAACCTGAGTTCCTGATTAGGCATTGTACTAAGGACTATACTAAACTACAAGAGGGATCCCCATGTCCTCTGCTTCGGGTCCCTTAATAAGGCTAATCGTGACTGTAGCTCATCGGTTGCAGGGGTTAGGGTTTAGGGTTGGGCCTCCTTGGAAGAAAACAAACTGGCTCTAGAGGGTCCCGTATACAAGAATCAGTTACTTTGGGAGGCTTATGACAGCAGACGTTACTTGGGTTTGGAGTCTGGAGGTCCTATAGGCATGACGGTACATGGAGAATGTGTAGGGCGTGAGGTTTTGCAAGAGTGTTTCATCCAGCTTCTGCGCAAGGATCCGAATAGCTTGGTGTATACCAATCCCAACTTGAACAAGGGCCGCAGGATGTGGCGAAGAGTCCCGAATTCTACCATCAAAGTAGGAAGCTTCAGCAGCAGTGATGAAAACACGATGTACATGTCGGTTCTATCGGGATCGGCCACCTTGCCATGGACTTGCCGCTTGACACGTCCTTGCACTTTTCATTGCTGCAGGTATCCAGTGACGGTGCCAACATTTTCGAGCGCGAAAACCTAAACCCATTACAGTAGCTTTCATGTTCTTTTCCATTATCCCTCTAAAACAACCATATACCCCTATATAACCCTAAATAACCCCAATATACTACAGTAGTTTCCATTTTCTTTTCCATTATCCCTAATGTCACATAATAGTACCCCTATTTCTAACCTAAACCCTTCAACCTCCAAGGCGAGTGCACATTCTGCTGAGACCCCAGCTTCCCCAGCTGATGCCGCTTCTTCAGCATCTTGCGGGGGTCTGAGCTGGTCAGGGAAAACTATTATTTATGGTTTGGGGTTTAGGGTTATAGGTTATATTGGGGTGATGGAAAAGAAAATGGAAACTACTATAGTATATTGGGGTATGTAGGGATAATGGAAAGGAACATGGAAAAAGCCAGCAAAGCCTCCCGTGTCCTTGCAAAGACAACACCAGGAACCGTGCGAGTCTTATGAGGCTACTGCCAGTGACTTTACTTGCGTTGCCAGGACTCAAGCTGAGGACCCATCTTTCCAGAGCAGGAAAACCTTAGGGCGGCGCGCGCTGGCGCCTTCCTCCATCGGCACCTTGTCTAACTCCCTAAAGCCTATAAACATCTATAAGCCCTCATGCTTCCAAGGCTTTCGGGCACGGCTGTCATGGCTCACTGAGCCTGGAGCATCAGCAGGTGTATTCAAAGGACCCTGCTCTGCACCTGGCAGGGGCTTAGGGTTTTAGGGTTTAGGGTTAGGGCGTACAGGATACAGGCATCGTTAGACACAAGGTGGGACCAGGAGGTCAAAGATCCTCAAGAGCAAGGGTTTTTTCCAAACAGGGGCGCGCAACTTTGTGAAATGCTGTTTCCAGGTATACCCTGTCCTCCTGAATACCCTAAACCTCAAACTCCAAACAACCAAAACGTACACTCCAGGACTGTAAGACTTACCTTTGGTGAGCTAGAAATGAAAGGAATGGATCCTTATGGTAGTCCCTATTGCCCCCTAAGAATGGAGAATCCGATGGAAAATAAAATGGAAAATGCAATGGAGACTGGGGGTATATGGATCTGTATAGTAGTCCCTATATAACCCATTGTTATAGTAGTTTCCATTCTCTTCTCCATTCTTCCTATGAGACCCCTCTAAAACCCCTCTATAATCCCCAAATTGCTAGTTTCCATGTTCTTCTCCATTCCCAGCTAACCAAAGGTAAGAAGATTGCCGGAAGGGTTTGGCCCTGTCGCCTTCTCCGTTTGCAACAGGCGCCTCTGTGGTTTCGACAGCTTTGCTCTCCCTGGGCGCCCATTTGGTTTGGCAACCCTAAACCGTGAACCTATAGGGCTTAGGGTTTAGAGTTTAGGGTCTGGGGTTGAGGTTTGAGGCTCTGGGCTTGGGATATAGGCAGGCGGCCTATGAATCCTAGGATTTAGGCTTTCTGCGGGACAACGCTCTGCACTAGATACTTGAAAGGAAGCTTCAGTAGACCGCTGGCGGACCCCTTCAACTGAAGATCTTGATATTCGCCCAAGATCCAAGTAAACCGTGGACAAAAGATCCCATTCATCCCCTCAGCCCTGACCGCATCACTGCGTGGGAGTCAACCCGCAAGCCTCAATGGAGAACCGCTTCACAAGGATAAGAAGCACCGTTCTGATTATGATCGATGCTGCTCTTTCCATCACTAGCTCAGTTGCAATACTCCCGATGATACTTGCTGACTCTGCGGGTCGCAACTGTTGCTGCCAAGACCATCATTGCCAGTAGTCTATAACATCATGCTTCCCGTTTTTGTGTGTGCTGCTGATTGTATTGCTGCCATATACATATGCTTACCAATAAACTAGGAACCCTACCGCCCAAGTCCTACAGCCTTAGTCCTAAACTGGAAGCCCTTAACCCCCATTCCTAAAATCTAAGACACAAACCTCTATATGCGGCCCTAAACCTTCAGTCATAAA